ATAATAATTTAATACCTCTCAAAGTAAAAGTTGTTGCGAAGGAATTCATGAAAAAGACTTGTAGCTTGGCGCGGAGAATGGCAGACGATTCCGGACTAGGTGCGTTCTACTATCACCCCCTGACAACAAGACCAAATTTCGACACAGAGGTCAACCCATTTCCATACTCGACTGGTTGTAAGAAAATTCAACTACCAGTCTTCCAGCAGCTTAAACTAAATGGGGTGGATGCAGCTTTAATATGAAAGTTAGCAAAGCCATCTAGTTTGGCAGATGGTTCCGGTGAAGATACCTTCTTCTAGGCCGTCCTAGCTAGAGGATAATGTTGCGAAAACATGGTTAACTGATTACTATTTTGCACCATTTTGCTCTTCATAGCTGTGACAAAAGCTGGGCGAAATTGACAGTTATCGCAAGGTTTTGTCGTGCCCTACTTGGTCGTTCCCACTAAGATGAAAGATATTGTCGAACCACACGTCGGTTTGATTGTGATTGTGCATGTGGACAGAGTGTGATGACACGGAAAACAGTGTACCATATTGAAATGGAGAAACCGTGATGTCACCGTTGTCCAGTTATCTCACTCCTCTACAACACAACACAACACAAACACGACCCATTTGTCGAGTGACCACTCCTCGAAACCATCCATTTGGTAACTAGGCGATGTTTCGTCGACAAAAGCCAACCCTGTGGAAGCTGCCTTTGCTAGAGAAACTGGCAAATCAGTCCCTTTGAACAAGCGAAAAGACCCCATTGAAGATGTGGACTGTGTGAAAAAGTGTGATGTACATCTACTTCAACAGCATTATCGGTACTAACAACTCACCGAAACAGATGACCACAGCAACCGTCGCCGTCGGAGCCGTCAAGCGCCGTTGGTCGGTGTCGTCCGGTCTCCCGTTCGCGAATGGCCAGTCCAGACGAGATTGGTCGGTACCGCGAGTCGAGCCTGAATCCCTCGCATAAAACAGGTGACCGTCAATTTGAAGATGATGCACAACAAAAGAAAGCACACTTTAGGCTCAGGCAACAGGCGATGGCAACTAAGTTTGAAGAGGGAGTAGAGAAGGTGTCAACGGCTGATTGTGCAATGTTGGCACCAGCCAAGAATCTGGGCTTCTAACCTGACTTCGGGTTGACCGAGCCTTCAAATAGGCCCTACAGTCTTTACTTTCGCCCAGGCAATCTACCGAGCGACCAGGCACAGGACAGTTGAAGACGACCAAGCAAAACAGCCGAATGAACGCATAGACGGCCGGCACGAGACAGAGAAAGTGAGCAAGCGAAAGATGGCAAGAAGAAGAAGAAGGAGAGAGATAGAACGAGAAAGAGAGAGAGAGAGAGAGAATGAAAGATCATTCCAGATAGCCAAAAGAGTGAGAGGTAGAAGTAGAGGAGGGTGAGGAAAATAACAAGTGGGAGACGAAACGGTGAGTCTATTGGAGCCGAGGGAAAAAGGCAGATTGAAACGGCCGAATCGCGTTGAGCCTGAGACGCTATTCACTTTGATTGTCTTGTTGTAGCCTCAAACCGCTGGCCGAATCAAAAATAGACGATGAGACGATGGCCCGAGTGTGAATGAGCCAGCTTTGACGGCAGAAGAGATGGTGACAAGCCTTGCAGCATATTGGCCAAGCAGACGAGACGAGGCTAGGCGACGCGAGACGACGTAAAACGACTCAAGATGGGGGTTGATGTCCCAACTAGCCGAGAAGAGCATTTTGTGTCCGTGCGCGTGTCTATGCCCACACACACACAAACCTATGTATATTTGTTTATTTATTTATATAAATGTGTCTGTGTGTGTGTGTGTGTGTGTGATTGTGTCCGGCAATGGAAGTACACGTGGACCGGCAATTTCGGTCTTAGACTCAAGTGGATTCTGGCGCTTGGGATTGCTCGGCCTGTCCATCTGCTTGTCCCAAAAGTGTCCTGCTCTTGCTAACTTCATTAGGAACTTTAAGCACAATAGCAACAGTAACTGGCTAAAGCATGGATTGAGCAAACGCGAAAGAGAAAGAGAGAGAGAGAGAAAGACAGTGAAGAAGGAAGAGCGCAATGTAAGGGAGAGTGAATAATGTCTGGTCATTGGCACGTGTACGACATGTGATTGTGCTTGGAATTGTGACTATAAATCTTTCTTTGTCTCTGTCTATCTCTCTTTCTTGCTCTCTTTCTCTCTCTAGTCTTCTCTTTCTTTCTTTATTTCTTTCTTTCTATCACTCACTCTAGCTCTCGGCTGCGGTATCCGGCTGCCAAAGGATAACGAGCACGTTTGACAAAAAATGCAGAAATGAAAATGAATGGCGGACAAATTCTGGTGGGAGAAAGAGTCTATTGAACAGGTTCCAAGTTTACCCTCGACCCCTTATGCATTCATCTGCTGAACTTTGCACATGCATGTACCTTTTGTCCCATCCCGTCGAGAGTATACGCGGCAGTGTCCTGGTTCGAGTCCCGCTATGAGGGCTGATGCGGCTAAGGCGAGATAGGAACTGGATGAGAATAACTTTTGGGAAGGAGAGCTTGAGGAAGTTATGATTGGGAAAACACACACTATTTCGTTTAAGGCGATAAAAGGAGTGATAGTTGAAGTTTCCCACATTTATATGAGTAGACCTTAAATTTCATATATATATTTATATGATTTCAT